TTCTGATGAATGCCAACTCATCCCCCACGCAAACAGACTCTGCTCTAGTCTGATTTTCTGTTACTATGATAAAACATTAATCAAACCCACTATGGGGGAGGGTTTATTTTTACAGGTTAATTGCCCATCATCAAGAAAAGCCAAGGCTGGAACCTGAAGGCAAGAGCCAGGTGCTGCTTACTGGCTTGCCTTCCCTCCAACCCAGGACCACCTGCCAAGGGGTGACTCTGCAGGGATTGGGGAGGCACTCCTACATCAACTATCACTTCAGAAATGCCCCCACAGAAGGAACACAAGCCAATCTGAAGAAAACAATTCCTCAATAGAGGTCCCTCTTCCCAGGGATACTAATTTGTGTCAAGCTGACAAAAACTAGCCACAGGCTCCACCCTATTATTAATAGCTGTCTCTAACACCTTTCCTCCCTGCTAATTTTCTCCACTATTTCAGTAGAAAACTTTCTCTGCTCCAGTCAAGCAGGCCTCCTTAAAACATCTTCACCACCCAACAAACAAATTCACACTAAAGTTTCACAACAGGATTTCTTAATCCTTTCCTAATTCCAATTTTATACTTCTTCCAAAGGCCAGTCTTAATTTTGCCTGCCAGAGTTCCTTAGCTGACCTCCTCTTGTCCAAATTTCTCCTATACTACAGCCCCATCTAATAGTACTGCCTCATTTAGTCCCATGATTTTTGTACATAGATACTCTTTCTCTTCCTGACTAGACTCATCTACTCACTTGTGGTCCCAAAACCCTCTCACTAATTTAGCACAGCTCTGGAACGAGAGGAGCAGTTTTATCAACTATGTGAAGGCTGAGACCAGATGCTTCTCAGGTACTGATAAACCATTTATGCACAGTCTGAAGCTCTAGCTATTTTGTGTCTACACTGTAGCATGCGGTTTTCTAGGAGACACAGGCAGAAATGAAAAACGGAGGACACTACTCCTAAAAGTTCGTAAAAAAGCAGTGGATCCTGGGTATTCCCCTTTACAGAGCAAGCTTTACTGACTCCAAGACGTGAGAAGTTCAGATGCCATACTTGACAGTGCCTTGGTTTAAAAAAAAAAAAAAAACAAAAAAACAAAAAACTGAACCTCTTTGGATTGTAGAGCTGGGTGGAAACTGAGGCTATGTCACTCGGGCTTTATGCATAAATCATGATTAAATATCAGTGCTCCCTATCTTGTCACTGGTTCTAAGCATCGCCTTTAACAGGTAATGGGGGAAAAACAATTTCTTCGGTTTGTCTCCCTTACTCCTCCTTCCCCAAGGATGGTTGGGACAACCACCACACATCCAACCCACTGTAGTCCAGAGCTCTACGACAGTACCAACGGACAGCTAGCTGCATCTTTTTCCTCCAGCTCCACCATTCCAGCCTACACATGGAATTCGATCTATATTTTCATACGATAAATAACAGTCTGCAATGCATCTAGGGAAAACAAACACAAAAGGCAGGGCTGCCCCACCCTCGCGGCCCTTGAAATGGCCCAAAGCACAGCACAGTTCTCGGGGAAAAAAAATAAGCAATTTTGAATCTATCAGAAAATAACAATACTTGATGGGTAAGGTCCTCTGGCTTCAAAATGTGTACCAACACCGGATAAAAAATGTCAGAATATCACGTGGGCATACACGTGAGGCCAGAAAGTCCGGGCAACAGGTTGGCCGCCCAGCATCTACATTGACAGGTCGCCTTTCCCAGGTCGTGGGTGTGCCCGAATCTCGCGTAGGCAGAGGCTCATAACTCTCTCCCTAACTACACGAAGCCCTTCGCGGCTAACCCAAAACTCTGGGAACCCCCAACCCCGAGGGTCCCTGTTTCCGCGTGTGTCAGGCTCGCACAGTCGCATCTCTTGTCCTGGCGCGGAGGCTGCTGAGGAACGCGGGCTTCTCCCGCTTCGAATTCCTCAGTGGAAGGGAAACTGGCAGCGTCATCCCGGCATCCAATCCCTTGTCCCTCCGTACCCTTTTCCAGCGCGCCCCCAGAGCGCCAGGCCCGGGAACTGACCCTCGTCAGCCCCCGTCCCCGCCCCCGGAACCAGC